ATAACCGTGCGTCTTTTAAGTCCTTTCCAACTCTCTTACAATGCTCACAGCAAATTAAAAGTGCTGAGTAATGGGGTATTCAGCAAGAAAAAAAAACTCTATCCAGACATTCCAGCTCCAAAAGAATATACATCCAATTTTTCCATCAGGGGTTGTAAAAATGAAGACTCAGTGCTGGTACAGCTGAGAGGATGACGTGACCCATGTAGCTCATGGGTGCTGCGATAGCACCTCAGTGAGTCAGGCCCTCCACCACATGCTGGAGATGGATGTCTGGGAACTTCTCACAGATGGATTTTGGCCTTGTTATCACTTGTACATCTCCATCACTGCAAGCCATGGGGGCATACTCCTGTCTTGCTGGGTTTTCTGATCTGGACCACCACCAAATTGCTGCTCTTCTCTCTCCCCCAGCTGCAGTAACTGCACTGGTACCTCCCCAGCTGCAGAGGGAAATAAAATCCATCTCTTTGCAAGCTTCTGCCCCTTACCTTGAAGTGACAGTGCTGTCCTCCTGGCTGCTTTGACACATTCACTACATTGCTACGAACAGCAGAGAAAAATGTTGTCTGCCAAATAGAGAGGTGAATAGATCTCATTTGAGTTATTATTTTCCAGAAAGTTCTGGAGTCCATTTCTTTCAAGCACAAACCAAAGGAAGAATACAGAAGTTAAAATAATTCTGTAGAAGGCAGTTTATTGCATGAAGTGCCAGTTCAAAATGAGCTCTTTTGCTGTTGTTCATTGAATCCTAAAACTATCCTATTTTATCTACTGCTACGAAAACCTGTAAGCTATAAATATTATATAAATTATATATGATGTCTCAAACTAGTAATGTTTTACACTGGGTCAGCACCAACAGCCCCCTACAGATCACATAGTCATGCACAGCTTTATTCGTGCAAGACATGGACCCTCTCCATACTACAAAAACTTGCTTTGAAGAGGACTTGGCAGCCCACACACACCATCAGACTGTGCCTTAAAACCCCTCTGTTTCTGTTGTGAGACAGCAACTGCAAGAGGCAGAGAGAGTTTTATAATGCTGATGAAGCAGCCTTTGCAGATGCAGAATTCAGCCTTATAGATTAGGTGATTAAACAATTATATAAAAACACCTGGTTTAGATATCCATCTTCCTCATCTAACACTTTGCTTTCAAAGTCATACTGACTAAAAAGAAAAAAAAAAGACATAAAATGCAACAATGGGCATAAGCCCTGAAGCACTGCAGGCCTCTCAAACAGCTCCCTCTCTCCCACGGCCCTGCGCTCTCCCACAACACACTCATCAGTTGAGAAATGTTTTTGACACGTGGTGAAACAATAATTCCATTGATGGCAATGAATACCTTTTTCAACAGAGCACTGTGCAGGAATATCTCAATCTTGAAAGCTCACCTGTTTTTTCCTCTGAATGGACTGTGTTTACCTGCCTTTACTACAAAAGTCCAGCAAGGCCCAGGGTCAGTACTCCCCTCTTCCTTCCTCAGCAGATGAGCAGTAAGACATGTAACGAAAGGATTAATCTGGACAAGCAGCTTTGCAGTGCAGCACTGCAGCACACTCTATTCCTTTTGGACAGACTGAAGGTAAATCTTAGTTTTTCCTCCCACATAGGGTATGCACCAGTTTTCAGGTTTTAATAACATTCTGCAGTGCAACCAGAAAAGGAAAATCATTTGATGGGGAGATGCTTCCAGCAAAGTACAGCCTGCTCCAGCAGCAGACACTGTTATTTAGCAACACTCAGCAATTCAACAACATTACATAAGACAAAAAGAATATATTCTATAAGCTGTCATCCTCCTAACTGAGGCTTAGTCAATAACATTTCTGTTATACAATATTAGATATATATACATATATATATATATGCAAATAACATAGTGAATAAGTTAAAATGTGTTAAATACTGTCCTACTATAGAGGCAAACAATCTATAATCATGAGAAACATGGTTTGGAATACAAATAGGAGCAGAATTCATTCCAAACATCACAGATATCTGAGATGCCACTTGCTTTGAAATCTCTAAGATGCCAAAGGGATTTCCTACCTTCAGTCTAAGTGTGAGGTGGGGAAGAGAAAGAACAGCATAGGATTAAATTTAAATCTCCTAAATTGAGCCAAGGTCAGAATTATCCATGACGGAACTTGGCTAAGACGGACGATCCTCTCTGCTGTTGTCCTTTATAATCATCTTTCCTTTCTCTCTTCCCTCAAAAATAGTATTAAAAAATTAGAGAGAAGGTCTATTTTTCACCTGAGGATGAAAATATTTTTTGTTAGGTTCTCCAGAAGTGAATTGACACAATTTTTTGAATGGAACACACAGTTACATACTGCCTGCACAGCAGAAGTATAGTGCGCTGGCAACCGAGGCTGCCACTGCAGGTACTTGTGCATAGAGCTGCTGCTGCCACAGCACCTCATACTCTGTTTCACTGTCTATTTCCAGCTCGAACTGACACAACCCTGTCTGCTAGGAGTCATTTTTGTCCAAAAGAACACTTGCATATTTTGTGATGTTTGACGTGGAACTCTGTCATTAGTTCTCCTGCAACTAATTTTTTCCAGTGAAATGACTACAGAGCTTAGCTGAATCATGTCTTTACACTACCCCGTGAAGTTATATGTTTGCTTGTGAGGGGGGACATCAGCAAACAACAATTTATATAAATATATTTTAAAATAGAGTAAAATGATTGTATTTCGGCTTTATTTCTGGACAGTATTCACCAAGGGTGACTTACAACTTCAGTACAAAGATTAGAAACAGTCTTTCACAGTTTACTTTGATAAATTATGCTTTCTCAAAGATACTCACCTACACCTTCAAAGCCAGGAATAATTCTATGCATTCCAAGATAAATGTCATCATCTGTTCAAACTACGCCTGAGAAAACTAAGGCAGAGGTACCAGCTGTAACATGAACATTTGCCTGCTGATTGAACAAATGACTGAACAATTCCTCAACCATCTGTAGTTTGGCTCAGTCACACAAGGTTAAGTAGTCTTTCAGTTATTTCAGACTAATACTTAAATCAATACTGGAGAATGGAGAAGCAAAAAAAAGTTTCAAATGCCACATGTCTACCACTAAAAGGAGATCGAAGGTGCTCCCGGCTTCAGTAGCTTTTGCTTTCATTCCTTTATGAAACTGTTTCATTATAATTGGTCAGCAGAGCCAAGCAGAGAGTTAAGTGCAAAATGTCTGTTCCTTCCAGACTTGATAGTAACGCAGACACAGCCAAGGCCAGCACTCCTCTACATGGGGCTTCTGTGTTCAGCTTTTTTGCAAAAATGAGATACTTTTTTATCCCTTTGAGTCCACACTGGCAGACAGACAAGTATTTTTTGGCTAGTAATTGCTAGCAAGCATTTACTTTCTTCTTATAGGTATAGCAACCAAAAAAATATTTCTGTAGGAATTGCTCCTTCTGGCCACAGACCACAGCAACCTGAGTTGCTAAACTACAGCTCCCAGAAGCCACACAGATTTCAGCCAGAGTAGCATGAGAACCACTTTGCTACCCCACAATGATTCTGACACCAGGACTTTTGACGTGAGGTAGCTTTTCAAGAGCCATACTACCAATTCCAAATTTCTTACTAAAAACACCAAAAAGACAGCAGACTACCTTTCCACAGGGCACCTGGTTTCAGTCAGAGTATTTTCATGGAAATTTTCAGAACTGTGATTCATTCTTTTCCAGGGGTGAGGTCTCCAGTCTTTCATTAGGTTTCATCCTTTAACAAAGTATAATTACAGCTCATTGCACTTTTTCATTCTTACTTGTCATATGTAAATCCTACTTGGACTGAAAATCATCCAGTGTTGAACTGGATTTTTCTTGTATAGGTACTCTGAATATTCTTAAAAGAAGCAACTGGCCTTTATTCTTATTCAAAAGACAACATCTGCAGAATTGCTTTCCAATTTCATACTTACAATTAAGACTCCAAAAAAAGGTGCCATTTTGTAATTCGGTAATGTATTTCTTGCAGCATTTAAGTCTTTTCCCATACATTCTTGGTGCTAAACTGCCATGACATTTTTCAATACTTTAAATAGAAAACTGCTCTTCAGAACAATCATACTGCAAATTTAATGATGAACACAGCAGGATTTAATGTGGATTTTATGGTCGAGGAGTACTGACCAAAACTATGCAAAAAGAGCATACACATATACATTAACTGGGACAACAGTTATGACCTTTATGCTTTATAGTCTGGGAAGATCAGTGGAAAAATAATTAAAGCACATTTTTGAGATGGCATAGCAGTTCTGAAGCATAGGGCAGTGCCCCCTGTCTGCATGAGAATGTGTGAATTCACATATTCTCACAAGGAATGGGGTTACAAAACTTCGTGTATTTCTGTGTAGCAAGTCCATTTTCTTGAGGCAGCTTGAAGAAGCAACAGGTTGTGTTCCTTCTATGTAGCCAGTATCTGCATTCAAAATTTTCAAGATTCAAAATAGGTGGATTCAAGAAGACAGAATGTCCACTTGCTTGTAATGTACATTCTAGCAGTTCAGAGACCTCACCACCAGGTACTTGGGGCAATATCACATCCCGTGCCACAAACATACTTGAAAGTAAAAGAAAACTATGCCAAAAATCTTAATCTTTATGAATTATTTTAATAAACCAAATATGAAGTGACAAACACAGGTCAAGGAAAATAACACAATAGTTTGGGGGGGGGGTGGTGTCTGAGGCACCCAAGGAAGATAAAACAAAACCAGCTCCACCAGATGCTGACAGAAGGTAAAGATACAGGAATAACTGAGGACTATTTGAGGGAAAACAAGAAAGCATAGTGTCAGAGATTAATTCTCGCCAAGAATGTCAACCAAATCATATAATCATTAAAATTTTATGTCAAGTGCTTAAATAAGGTGTCTTTGTTTCTTAAAACAGTGAGTCCACAGAACAATAGGGAATGGACTATCCCTGAATTTGTGGCAACAGGTCCTATAGAGCATATTCCAGATTCTCCAAATACTGGAGACGGAGGTGGCTAAAAAAAAGAAGCAGAGGAAGTGAGGACCCTTTGTTACCCAGCCTGGTCTCAAAAACGGAATGTGTTTCCTAGACCCCATAATCTTTGGCGTAGGTTCCTTTATCAGTGTTTGCGTGAGTGCTTTAATCCCATGACTGTGAAGGTTGCAGCAGTCAGTTTTTCATATACCAGAAACATAAGAGCAGCAGTAAGGACTGTCTGCAGGAGCTTTGCTTCAAGGCCTTTGTAGAGTCCCACTAATCCAAAACGCCTAAGGAGGAGAAAAAAAACCAAACAAGAAAACAAGTGTGAATAGCTTTCTAGAAGTAAATCAGTACACTACAATGAAGAATTAATATCACAAGTTAAAGACAACTGTAGGAATCTTAAACCCATTCTTGATCTCCAGTGCCAGCTACTTTTAATAATATTTTAAGGAGAAAATTCTGCAGAAATTAAAGGTGTTTTATGCAAGAAACCTGCTTTTCAAGATGAGAGTTGGAATGAATTGGTATCCATATGTATCCTTAATGCCACTTACTATACAGATATTTAGGAGAATTTGGGTTTGTGGACTTATTCTGCAAGATATTACGAAAACCAGGTTGACTGAAATGGTAAGTTTAAGGGAGGCAAAGAAACAAAATTCAGATCCAGCAACATTTTCACCATATTAGTAATGCCTAAGTCTTCTATATCATGGTAGGAGAAAAAAAAATGGGAAAGCTCACCTCACTCTCTGTTGAAGAAGGTAAAGAACATTTCTAAGACTGCCTAGTGTTCGGTTCTCTGGGTTCAACCTGTGGCGTCCAAACTGAAAAAAAAAACAAAGAGCATTTTCTTGTACTATTTCCCCACAGTGCCTGGCAGAGAATGCCACACATACACGAAATCTGGAGAGCCTATCTTAAACTTCTTTAAACATTTTCCATGTCATATGGCCATCAGCTTGGAACTGAGGCCAAAGCTCACAAAGCAAGCATTAAAACTGTACAGGCTACAATAATTTGTTTTGGTTTTAAGATGGATTCTAACAAAGTGTTACACGTGGCCGTATTTCCTCTTTTGGTTGCTGTGGAAAAAAGAGTTTTCAAGATTTCAAAAGCATAATTTGCAGACTCTTAGTAGGGATATGACATTCAAAGTAAGTTCCTTCTGGCTTGCTCAGCTTTCACTTGACAAAGATTCACTCACACATCTGCAAACCAATACTACATTAAGATTGCACAGCTGAACACAAAATTTATCTGCCCAACAATGGTCTTGAAGCAAAACACTTATGTGTGGACTGCTGTGGAAGAATCCAAAATTGTTTGATCCACCTACCTGGCCTAAATAATATTTCTTTTTTACTCACTGCACTTGCCTATCCCCAAACTGGTTTTCAGTAGGCACAATAGCTGCTGCTGTAGTTTTGTGTCTCAGAGTTAAACTAGCAACTTCAGTAACTCCTTTTCTAGCATTCACTGATACTCTCATCTGATCCAGGTCAACAGTACTGTCAGCAAGCTGTAACTATGAATTATTAATATACAAGAGTGGTACACTTTTGTATTTATAACAGCACAGCCTAATAGCTTTTGAAGCCTGTATACTCTGTGCTAAGAAAGGTGAACTTGAACAACTGCAAATGGATGATTTTTTCCCAGAACTTGCTGAAACAACTGCTGCATCTTAGGTATAAGACATTACCATTGACAGTAGGTGAAGTATGCAAGCTGATTTAGGCAGTTCAGAAACTTTAAGAAAATGCCAGGATAATACCGTATGTCTCAACAACTCAGATGGAAACAGCAGCAAGAGAATGCTAGTGAAAATCTCCCTTTATTAACTAAAATATGTGCTCAAAATCCACAATCTTCTCACCAGCAACTAACTCATTTGGTGTTGATTAATCAGTATTAAGAATTACTGTCAAAGACTCAGACACCCCCCAAAAAAACTGCTAACTAGGTTCCAAGTTACAGTGTCAGTCACTGCCCAGATTACTCATAGCCTTCCAAACTATACCATCATTAGGTGCTTCATTCTCCTCTTTTCTCCACCACTGGACAATTTTTGTACTGCAAACAAAGATTCATCAAGAGAAAAAAAAAAACATTAATTTCTCACTAGGATGTTAACAGTTCAGTGGTTACTGCAGGAGATTTCCCAAAGGGACTAGCATTCTCTGTGACAGAGAAAAGAGACTTTAAAGAGAACTTCTTCAACCAGGATCCCTAAGAATATTAAGTGTTGCTATATCTCCAGAGGCAATTTTAATTTAGCTGCTTTTTACTGACACATAGGCTAAAGAATAGTTTCACTGCATAATGAGTAAAACCAGTGTCATGTATGTCATGTGTCATCCTGAAAAGGAGACAGACATACGAAACAGCAAGGCTGGAAGCTGCTACTACTGTCAATTAATTACACAGGATAACTGTTCATTTTATCAAGAAGAGTGCTGTGCCAAACAGCTGAAAGCAAAGGTGCAGAACCTTCATTACAAAGAACCCTAATAACTTTCAAACAAAAGTAGGTTTCTAAAGGTTAAAGGCTGAAAAGGAAAAAAAAGAGTCCTATACTTCTACTTTGATGACAGAATTTAATTATGATGTGTAAGTTTATATGAATTATGTTGAGCTTGTATTAGCTTCTGTGTAAATCTGCTAAAATTGTTTCAAAAAACTCCCTACAATTGTATAAAGCATACTTCATGCAGAATGCTATTTCTGAAAATACTAAACCTTTATTCATAGTCTTTTTCTTTAGCATCACTTAGTGTGAGTACCAAAAACTTCAAACAGAACAATGCTAGCTTTAGATTAGGAAATGCATCATGCAGCAGAGCAAGTCTGAACTGGACAGCACAGGTACAACAGATGCAGACGTGTTCAGGGTTCCTGGCTATTCTTTCATAGAGCAAAGGGACCGAAGTCACACCTAGGGACTGCAGAACTAGAGAGAGGGTGCTTGTGTTCCTCACCATCACAGGGAGAGGACGGTCCTGCATGGAGAAGTATCATACAGGCCACTTCATTTCACAGTGGGCCACTGTGAGAAAAATCCCCTCTCCCACCAGGACACTGATGGTTTAGCTGTGCTCCCACAGAAAGGCAACTCATCACTGCTTGGGAAGCCAGCAGGGAACTGGCTCACTGCAGCTGAGGAGAGCAGGAAGCTGCAGCTGGGCAGTACACCAAGCTGGCAGCACAACTTACCAAAGCTGTCGTTCTTCTGTCATCATGAGACAGAAGAATTTCATTCAAAAAGCTAAAAGGAGACAGATGAAACATGAAGCCACAAGACTGTAGCCACTTCTATAGCAACCATGGAAAGGAACAAGGGCTGAAGCTCTTATAGGGATGTAGCCCCATGAAACCTGCACTGCCGTGCGATGCTCAGGCTAAAACAGAGCATTCCAACTTTCCTTCCAGTTCTCCTTTACACCAGCAGAAAAAGCATCACAAATTAAAAACAGACTGATGTTGCAACTTATCCAAACAGAGCTATATTTGCTTAAATATTTTTTGTGTCTGTCACTCCAATAATAGAATTCTTGTTATTAGTTTAGCTTCTGAGGAGTGTCCAGGCTGTTAAAACAGGATAAGACACTGAATGAAAGCACTAGCTCAGCTGATCAAAAATTATGAAAATTTCAGGAAAGATGGCAACTGACAAAATTACAAAGTAAACATATTCAAGTCCTGTTGCTTTGAAATATAGCATCCAAAGTATCTTTTTACAGGCTATGAAAAATCAAAATACATTTATTTCATTCTAATTAGAGAGAAGAATAACTCAAATAATTAAAAAATTGCTTGAAAATTAGCTGAAAATTAATTCTTCCAGATGTACAATTAACAAGAAAATTCCCATATTAGAGAAGTCTGAAAAGTGATACCCTTAGCACAGAAGGCTCGTTTTCAATAATTCAACTAATTCTCAGAATTTAGACAAGTTTTAGAACATAACGGCTTTACCATTAATTTAAGGCTTCTCCATACTTAGGAAAATAGCATCATATTTCATGTGGAAAAGTTTATTAATATTTAACTGTTATAAAAACAGATTTAAAAGCACAGAAATTAAAGTACAATATGCTTATGCACGGCCAGGTCTCCTGCTTCCTCCCTGCTAACAAGTTTTGTCTTGTGTCAATATTCCAACAATATTGGTACATCCTGAAAGGAGCAGCATTATCCAGCATAGATACGAGCCGAAAGTAAGAAAAAGTGCAAGTGTTACCATTACCACTACAATTAGCCTCAACAGCCAGGCAAGTGGTTAAAGATATTTATGAGGGACCTCAGCTTCCCCTGATGAATCACATTCTGGATACTGACAAGGTCAGACCATCATCCAAACAACAATACCTATGAACAGAACGTTTCTTTTATTACTCTAGGTCATCTGGAAACAGATTGGGTTTAGAAGATTTAAATTTAACTTCTCACTTGATGCATTTTCCTTTTATATTCAAAGAAGTAAATGTATGTTCTTGTAGTGCGTAAAAGCAGCACAGTGCCTCAGCTTCTGTACCGATGCACTATGCTGGCAATCCTACCAGTTACATGAAACAAATGTGCTCTACTAACATCAAGTTCGATCAGAATCCAAGAGGAGAGACATCCTAATCACTGGCCTGCACCGTGCAAAAATACCTCCCAGAATGATGGGTGCATTAATTCAAATAAAAACTAGCCATATGAATAACACTTGCACGATACAGAACAAGTCAAAGGCAGAGTCACCCTGAAACAAAATTATTACTTACCCTCAGAATTGACTGCACTGTCTGCAGAGGATAAGTGAGGGTCGTGGCAACTGCTTTGGCTATTGCACCAATGACAAAAGCATCCAAAGATGTGAGCTGTTCAATAGATAAAGAACATATTTATTTCCACATTGTACCAAACCAGCCAGTTACCCAGATATGTTTGGGGATTCAGTAGTGGTACCTGCTACCAGATTATCTAACGATCTTTGGCATGAAGATTTCATGAAATCCCTAGATCTTCTCAATTTAAAGAGTTAGTTATAGTTCAACCAACTTACTTGCCCACAACTAAAGTTTATTTTTTTACTTCTACCTGCTTTTGCATTTATACAAGGCCATACAACTAGACCAATCTAAATCACCAAGAGTAGACAAAAGATAAGGAAGTATAATTTTAAACATATCATCAATAGGCATTTCAGGTTTTGCAACTAAAACTAACAAGTCACACAGTGCTTGTGAAAAGGTGACAGTGAAAGACTCCTTGAACATCATCCTGTAATCCCGAGGCATAATTACTACGCTCTCAGGCAGAATTGTAGTCTTGATGACATAGGCTAAAAATCTCATCCCCTATTACTTAAGAACACCTGCTGGAAGCCCATCCTCACTGCCAAAGCCCACACTGTTCCAGGATGCACCAAATATATTGTTATAACCTATACTGATTACAATGCATCTCAGTTTACCAGTGTGAATTAATCAAGGAAAATAAGTAGGTGCCCATATCAAAACGTGCTTGAAATTTCCAAAATATATTGATTGCAATCACAAAAATGCTTACACATGCACATCCTAAAAGGATCAATCTGATATATTTAAGACAATCAGGAAAAGACCAAACAGGAGGAAAAATATTGTCCAAAATAAAAATTACCATTGCTAGGGAAAAAAAGTATTTTCCCTCTCCACTGATCATGGATAAAGAAATGCCCTAATTTAAGGTGGAACTAAGGAATTTAAAAGAAATACAAGAAATAAATATATAAATAAATATGTCATTAGCCAAAAGGCAAACAGCAATGCAGAGGGAAGCTCAGCTCATCACACAAAAATTGTACTGTCCATAATGTAACTGGGTAGATCCATGAGGCACAAACGGAGTGCTACAGCTGCAGTACTAACTAAAGACAGTAAGTCTGAAGCCTCATTGATAGTGCAAAATCTCATGTAAAAATAATCTCACTATGTCTTGAGGAAAAACGAGATAGCTTTGAAACATACTGATATGACCTAACATTTTAAATCAGACAATGCATCCTAAAATCATAAATTAACAGCAAAGAGCCAGAGCTTAAACATGTATTATGTTATGACATTATCTGAAAACGTAACGCAAATGCTTTTCAGTTTGCCAGAACATAAAAGAAACATGACTTCAGCTGAGATTCTACATCTGATATAGTGAAATACAACAGAATAAGAAAAAAGAAGGGAACTATAAATCAGGGACAGAAAAGTGATTATGCCTCTATTTAGAGAATCGGGAAGGTATGGTTGCAATATGGTTCAATTCTAGTGTCCATCCGTGGAAAAATTACACTGAAGAATTGAGGGCTTCAAGAAAAAAATGTTATTAAAATGACAGGGCCCAGAGAAAAACTGTGATACTCTGAAGGTTCTATATACTTGATTTACTGGAGAAAGTGTTAAAAGCAGACTTATAAAAGATATATTAGAATTGAAATCTCTAATTTAAATCTAGACTTGTGAACAAATGTAAACAAATGCGGACAAGAGGTGCAGTTCTATTTTTACAGGTAGAGGAATTCATCACAGGAATATCTTTCCTAAGGACATGAAAGATTGACACCTCATTTCATGATGCTAGATCCTTTTTAGATACACTAACTCAAAAAATCCCTCCAAAATACAAGAATGAAAACCAAACCTACACTTCTGAATTTGTTCAAGTGGTGCATATCAAAGAACTTGTCTTATAACAGAGCATGTTCACCATCTAGCCTCAAAACATACTCACTTGCAGCTGCTTTTTCAAAAGCTTTCGTTTAAAGCCTTCATAAAACATGAACTGTATGGCAGGATTGAAGACCAGAAGCAAGGAGGGGAAAGTACCATTCCACAAAGCTAAGACTCCTTCATCTCTTATTATCTGATGGAAGGCATCTGAGACAAAAGGTGGGGGGGGAAAGATCATTAACATTTTGAGTACAAAACACCATAAAAGGTAAGAGAAGTTATACTTAAAGCCTAATACTCAAAGTGTATAAAAATTCACATCAGACTTCTATGCAACTATTTTTACCTTCCATTTTAATCTAGAAGTTAACAGAAAGGTACTGACAAAGGAGGTTCTTGCTCACATCACCACCAACATAAACAAAGCTTATCATCTGCAGAGACACCCTGCTCTTTTTAGTACAAGCATGGCATCAACATTAAAGTCTTCTAAACCTTCTTCAAAATTACAACAATATTTATTTGATTGGCTGGTTTTAAAAGGAAGGCAGCCTGAACATGTGGATGATTAAGAGATTAAAGTAAGTGAAGTTTAATTTGCAGATTGTCTGCCCAAACTCAGACTCCAGCTATCACTTCACAAGGCTCACTACTGCTCCAGTATCTCTGTAACATACAAAAGGCATTTTAGTCACAGGGGTGCATACTGCAAAGTCTTAGTTACTGTTAGAAATAGCAAAGTCCAGTTTCCTGTAAAACTCAATGACTGCAAAGTGACAGAAGCACAGATATTACAGGGTGAAACCAGTTATATGAACAAAAGTCTTCAAAGTCCTTGATATATTTCATTTCATGAACTTTTCTTTGGTTGAAGACAACAACAGGTGCTTACCTATTATGCCTCTATAATTAGTTGGTACAATGTCTTCATTTCTGAATTTTGCTCCCTGCAGCTTCAGACGTGTGTTCACTACCCAAAGAGGAGTGGTCAAGAGTACATTCACTACACCTAATGCAAAACACAGCACAAAGAAAAATAAGCAGGAACCAGAAGATTTAAAATTTACACCAGATATGATTTCATTATAAGGATATAAACTACAGACATTGAAGGAGAGCTAGACATTTAACTAACAAGCTGTCACTCTAATTCCTGTAGCCTTTGTTCAAAAACGTAATTACATGGCATTTTACCACAGTGATATAACCAACTTAAGAATTTTTTACTTACTTCCATCAACTATTTAGCCAGTCACTGTGCCCACACTGAAAGATCAAGAAACTGCCAACTACTCACCCCTTCCAAAAAATCAAAAAACCCAAATCAAAAATCCAAGACCTCAAAAAACCTTTTTTGCAGTTTTTTTTTTAAATCAGCTTGTTTCTGTGTGGTCGCACGAGCAATTGTTCCTAAAGAATATTACTGGCAAACACAGGCACACAGTGGTAATTTTTCACGCTGGATTTGCTAGAAAGGTCTTTAATGTTATCATCCCTTCAAAGAAGCCACTGTACCATCCACACAGGAGGACGGAATGAAAAAAGAACATATGGTCCCACTGGACCTGCATGTATCTAGGGACTTCCTGTCACTTTCAGGTGAGAACCCAAAAACAAGTCTGAAAACTGACACCCAAATGCTTACAAGAAAATTCCTTACCTAATTGAAAATATTTCAGAATTGCATATCTTTTTCTTTAAATAAAAAAAAAAAGGCAACTATTACCTCTCCCTGCCACTTATCTTCAACATCTTAGTGATGATGCTTAGATACGTGGCAAACACCACGCCAGACACAAATACTATACCAGACCACAACAGCATTGTGCTTTGTGTCAGAATTCACAACAGGAATGGTTTGTGCATCTCCTTACGAGGTGGGAAGGACATAAAGGAGCAATCAGAAAGAAGCAAGTCTGCATATACTGGGAGGTCTGAGCACTCAGTGTGACCTCCAGAAGACTTCATAAAGAAAAACATTAGGCAGAATATACCAAAAAACACATTCTTGACAAAACGGAGATTTTTAAGTATTACCTGCAACAACCCCAAGAACCAAGTCTTTCCCAGTGGTTGAATGCTGACCTTTGACCCAGAGGGCTTTAAGACTATTAAATGTATAAAAATAAACAAAATTGGAGCAGCAAAGGCTGGAGATAACAGGGAACCATCCTCGATATGGTGCCAACCTAATGGAAAACAAAAAGACACAGTAAGGATCAGCAAAATATTTATGTGATCTGGTTCATTTTACATGTTGGTGGAGGATCCCAGAGATACAACACTGTATGTTACATAAAGTACAAAATAGATGTTTTTATATCAATGCTAACAAACCATACTAAATTAAGGAAAAAAGCAGTCCAGATTCTCACATAGAATTTAAAAATGGAAGACTAGTTACTGAAGTTTATATACTTCACCAAGAAGAGTTTTGCAAAGGATACGACCTGGGGCACGAGATCTGCAGGCAAGAGGAATTTCTAAGAGATGCCTGGCAGTAAATTCTAGAGAAAATTAGCCAGGTCAGTGAGAAAAAGACATCACCTAGTTAACTTTAACTATATTAACCACAGATGAAAAACCAAATATCATCTAAATCTGTCTTGATTTAAGAACGATTTCGTAACAGCTGACTAACAAAGCTCCCTTCTCTCACAGGCCTGATGAGCCTGTAAAACAGGGACACCTCAACAGCTGCCCTACATTCCCAGCATGTTCTACAACACATCCAAAAAAAGATAATGATACACACCTTCACTGGAGTGGCACAGAACAGGTAGAGAACTGGTATCATGTTAAAAGCATAATAAATCTCCTCCACAGCAGTAATTATGGAGGCTCTTTAGTATTCATTAAAATATTGGGAATACATAGAATATAAGGATCTCCAAGGAGGCTGTAAAAGATGCAAGGCTGGTAAACACACAAAAAATCTGACTGCTTAGAATGTAAATGCTAGTTTTCTGTCTCAAATCCATCCCTCCTATGTAGCTGGGAATATACCACATTATTAAGACTGCTTCTGAAGTTATAGCCTTAGCTAAACATACAGTTATAATTACAAATTAAATGACTATACAGTTATTCATAAGTCATATTAAAACAATTTTTATATTACCTATCTCTTCTGTGCTGGAAAAGAAAAAGAGAAATCTGCTGTGGGGACTATGTCCTCTAACTGAGCGTGTTAGTTTGTTTTTTCTTGATTTATTAAGAACAATTTCTGATGATTATCAAATGAAACATCTTGCAGTACAAAACATGAAACTAAAACAAAACCCATGAGTTTATTTAAATGACTTAAGTTGTCAGTGGTAGCATCTGTAATTCACACACAAATACTTCTGCACATAAAAAACCCCTAAGTTTGCATTCCAAACTGCAACTTTGAGAAAAACTCAGTGTACACTAACAAACACCTTTCAAATCACCCAGAAAAAGACAAAGTGCAAGTAAGAAAGCAAAGCTGTTTGATAAACTTCTGCAGAAAGTCCATTAGCTAAACCTATTTGCTTTATCTAGATGAGAACAAGCAGCTCACAAAAGTATATTATGAGACAACACTCTAAAGCTAATGTGAACAGTACGTTTATGATTTCACATCACATTTCAGTTTTGCTGTTGTTTGGTGTGTTTTTGTTACTCCAAACACATCTCTAAAATTAGTACCATTGCTTAGCCAGGCCTTCCCAATACCTTGGAAGAAGCAATGTTCTTCTCTTGCCAGAGTCACTGATTTTTCAGTTTCACAGGAAAAGTAGGATGACCACTTTTGCAGTCTCTCCACCCCAGTTAACTTCTTAATTTTTCTTTTTAACTTTTTTCCTTTCACCTTTTTTTAATTGAAGTTTATTTGCCACCCTCACATGACAAAAGCAACACAGGAACGTGAACGAGAGAGATCACCAACTGGCAGAGAACTCCTCATGCGTACAACTGCCAACTGCCCAAGTTCAAAGGTGGCAGAACATTATGGGCCAAGTTAAACTTTTGTCAAGTTTAATGTCCTAGAAGCTCTAGTCTACTTAGGAGTTCCAGGGATTCCCTTAGGAAAATACTTCTAACAAGGACAGGCATACAACAGTTTTTCCCAGTCAGCTCAGCTCAGACTGTGGCAAATACAAAAGTGCAGCACAGCCGAAAATTAACTGCTTTTAGACAGATCTTGAATCCCACCAGCACAGAGTCATGTGTTATTTACTTCTACATGTTTAGGAGCAGGAAAAAACCTTCCAACTGGGAAACGTGTCTCAATTCTCCCTTTGAATCTGGCTTGGCTGCCCAGGAGTTTCATCTTGATTATGACAAATTGACACACCCAAGAATCCAGGCAGACAGAGCTGGTTGATCAGGTACGTGAAGGTCCCTTTGCATTTCTGAGGAGGCACAGCTACCTCTCTAATGAAGGCACAGTTACATCACTGAACAGATCAATTGCATAAGGTGCTCAAGAAAGTTAATCCTAATTAGCTAAAGATGAACACATAAGATTATGCAAGTCATATCACACTTACATGGAGACATTTCAATTCAGAACAAAAATCTGTTCACACAGATACGAGCTAACTAATCCACTTTAAAAGCAAAGTGAAATTAGTTTTAGAGCTTGTCTACATGAAGATAAGCAGAAAATTAGTATCTACTCACAAGCCTTCTTCTTTGATTATTTCCAAAAGAACTGCCGGTGTTGTCTTAGATTTCCGCTTCTCATCAACTGGAAAACAGAAGAATCAGACTTTTCGATTATTCCAATTTTTAGCACTATTTTTCAAGTCCTTATCCTTGTTATTCTGAATATACCCCAGAAGCACTTGTTTCTTCTTCCTCATACAGGATAGATGCTCCCTATTTCTGCAGCAATTCCATAAAACATCTCCTTATTTTCATTTGCTAGGTAAGGCTACTTCCTTTTTTAATTTTTACCCAAACCAGCAGGTTCTGCTGTGCCCCAGAGTATCTGTAGTTACCAATTCCTGATACTGGTGACATGAACTGAAAGTAGGCTTCCCCTAGGTAGGGGACTCGAATTGGGCCTGCCTAACTGCTCTCAAAATTGTTCCTTGGACACCAGACTAGCACCACTAGCAGAGCAGTTTCCTGCAAACAGGTATTTGCCAACAGCCAAGCCTTAGCAAACCCCTGTCTCTTCCTGCATTGAGAGCCGTCCAACAGCAATATGGTGCTCGTTTCTCAACCACATACATCTGACAAGCTGGTTGATGATCTCCCTCAGGTTCCTAAGAGAGCTTTAGTCACAGTAATAAAATGCTTGGTGATTCTGTGACTTTAGACCAGAAGACAGAGAGTCAGAAAAAAGTTTATACTCAGATGCATTTTTGTAAATACTGGATATTCCTAATCCCAGTTCTAATCCTGACTTTTTCCTTTAAACTATCCTCAGTAATAATTTTAGACTAGTTTTTCATGATAGTGCCCCTGCATCTTCAAGTGTTTTCAGCAGCCAAAACCAACAACACACAAATATAATCCTGTGCAATCTCACATCTTTGTTTTTCTCTTTCATCTTAGATAACCATTTAAAACCCATGTCTGGCCACAGATCACACAGCCTTTTCAGCTAATTAAAAGGTTGCCCAACACTTTCAAAAGGAAGAATTACCTTCAGCTGGAAAAATGGTGTTAGTGTTAGACAGGTAAGATTTCTGTTCACGTAAAATATCCCCCTACAACCACCCTTACAAGCGCCCAAGTCAAGACAAACAGAAATGCCATTGTACAAAGAAACTAGAGTTTGACACTTACCCTGAAGTCTAAGCCTAGCTGTATCCAAAGGAAAAAATACAGTCATTGCAGTCATACTGCCCTGAAAAACAAAATAAACTGGCTATATGGTGTATCAGTTGCTTGTACAGTGCCTGCTACGATCTTTGTAGCCCTTCGCTTCTCACCCAGAAACCAGTCTGCTGAGCAAGTTTAAAAGGGATAAACTCCATGCAGAACAATGTCTATATGAAGTGGGTTTTGGTCCCATACTTACAAATCAGGGGTTTTTTTCTCTTGCATTAGATCAAGCTATAATTAAAACCATTAAAAGCTTTTTGCCCAAGGAGGACGTTTTTGAAGTCCAAGAGCTGATAAAGTGAGCATCAGCAGACAAATACACTGCACTTTTTCTACCTCTCATTAGTCTCAATACCCAAATTCTAGTTTAAAAAAACAAAAAAAGACTGACACAAACAACATTGTGTTACAATAACCTTGTTTTGAATAAGAAAACAATGACCAAACTGAAATTTCTGTTCATTAAAAAACTGATAGTACATGTTTTTCAGGACTTAATCCAGCTTTACATCAAATTCCAGTTTAGGCAATAAAGATCAGCTACCGAGACACTCTCAGTGGCATGAATTACATATAATGAATTCAATAAATCATGACCTAGATGTCACCAGATTCATGTCTTGTGAATCCAATGCCCTCTTCACTTCCTATGTGATCCAACCATTAAAGCCTCTAAATGGAGAAGCTATCAGACACCATCCTTTACAAAAGGTTAAATACTGTATTTGCAAATACCCGTATCTTCCATACAAGCAGCTGTTCCCTTTCTCTCCCTGCCATCACTCACCTTCTTCAGTTTTTAATACTCCAGCAATAATATTGCACAGCTTTTGGAAAAGAAATCTAACAAAATAAAAAAAAAGGGCCTGACTTGGTGTAAAGCTGTTTTCCATGCATCAAGTGATTGCTAAAGCTGTGGCACTCTTCCATTAGCAGTCATGCAAACTGTTTAAATGGTGGGAAGGTCTGGGATACAGCAAGTCACACAAGTGCTGTGTTTAAAGCTCTTCTAGAGCTGTGTTACGCTATATGTATAAGTGAGCTTTGCCTCTGGAAACACTCCTGCTCCCGAGCAGGCTGCTTGGATTTATCTCTACTACCAGCAACAGAGGATTATTTTTCAGGTGCTGTTTCCTCACTAGGGCAACTCTTGGTTGAAGTCTTAACCAGATTTAGGTTTTCCCAATTTTCATAACACCAGGCCACAATTACCTGGTTATTTTAACCCATTCAGTTTGGGCTCTTGCCAAAACGGTTGGTTCTGCTCTCCCACGCACTTGTCCAGTGCCTGCTCATTCTCAGTACCTACCATGTACCCTGCTGGACAGCAAGCAGGATTAATGAACCCACCTGACTGAAAATGTATAAAAAATATATTTCAGTTAGGTTAGTGCCAGCACAAAAAAGTGCCAGAAAGAGCCATCCTAATGATGGCTGCACTACCGCAATTTTGAAGCCAACCTCAAAACGCAGTTACACACACCTACACACAGAATAAGACTGTACAATCACTACAACTTCCAGCCTTCCCCTGCTCAATTTATCCTGCTTCCATCCTCCCAAAGTGAGATCCATCCTGAATCCTATTCTCAGTGCAATCCACCATACAGCAGCAACATATACACACACACTTGCACTCAAAATTAGAAAATGGAAATGGGGAAATAGTTGGGCTAGTGTCACACAGGACAAACAGGTGGATGCAAGGCACAAAACAGACTACGGGAAGAGATCTACAATGACCATCTAGTCCAGCTGCCTGACCGCCTCAGGGCTGATCAAAAGCTAAAGCACATTGTTTAAGTACATTTTCCAAATGCCTTAAACACTGACAGGCTTGGGCCATCAACCACTTCTCTAGGAAGCCTGTTCCAGTGTTTGACTGTCAAACTGGCTTAAAACTTATAGGAAGCTGTAGTTGAAGAGAATGTCATGAGATAACTAAGCTGACCTAATAGACCACTGCAAATAAAAGACAATTCATACCCTCTTCCCTCCTCTTGCTAAATTGAGGGAAATAAACTCAGAAAAGCCAAGTTACTTTTCTCCTGGGTTTACAAATAGAACAAGGCAACTAAATGATGAGAAGGCTGCCAGAAGCATCATATGAAGAAGACAGGATTTCACAGCTAGAAGGAAGGAAAACGAGACGGATGAGCCGGACCAGTCCTTCCCCCAGCAACAAAAGCCCTCAAGACAGAGTCAGATTCCTTGCTGAATCACACTTGAGACCAGCAGGGAAGGTAAGTCATAGTACTGATTGGAGGAACAGATGCTGACATGTATGACCCTGCACTGTTGGAAGGATGAGGCTTTTCTGTCAGCCTTCCCACCACCTTCCTGTCAGCCCTGAATCTTGGTAGTTTGCCAAGTCAAGTCATTTTACTGCTGAATAATCACTAGGACAGGTACAGACTGGTTTATGTAATCTCAGGCTCTTGGTCAACTGTATTTGCACCCCTGCCTCCTCCAGTCTGGCAGCATAACTTTTCAGACACCTACACGATGGTGCAGACAAAGAAACTAATCTGGCTGAAAAACAATGTTTTCCGCTGGGCTACATCTTCAGTCAGATCAGTTCAATGACCAATCACAGTACCAGACAAACAACTGTGCAGTAGCCAAGAGGTGGCCAGAACAAATGGCCCGAGGTGACTGCTGCCAAGAAGAGCTGTACAGGACCAAAGCCTGACATTCGGCTTTCTAAAAAACAGTAATAACAAAAAATTAAAACATATACAAAGACTAAATACTATGTTTCAGACAACACTGAGAGTCAAACAAAGCAGCCTGACTACGGCTAAAACGCTCCTATAAAATTCACATCCCTATAGCTTTTGCAACAAGGTTACATTTTAGCTACATGCAGAGTAAAGAATACTTATGTAATTCGATTAAAGTTTACAGGAAATCAAGCACTGATTTTTTTTTACTGCTCACAAAACTATTCCTTTGTCTCAAGTTTGACTAGGTAGCCTAGAAGGTATGCAAATTTTCAGTATATTAGAAGATAAACAAAATTTATCATGTTGTGATCTGACATGTGCTTCTGACTCAATACCTCAAGACAGCTCTGTGTTTATGGTTGGATTTATGACTTCGGTTCACACCACAAACTTTGTTTAGGGGCACAGCCTGATTACACCAATGTGTTTTCAAGGGTGAGAAGCTAACAGCGAGGGCTAAAGAGCACTGACTTCTGTAAAAGCCAGCAAAAGGAGAGTGAGTAGTATTTTGATAATGAGATAATCTGAGAGTGTTCCATTTTTTGAAAGCAGAAACAAAATCCCCATTGCCTTTGATGCTTAAACAAGCTGACTTAAAACAATTGAAGGAGCAGACAAAAATCCTGTGTTTATTTATAATAAAAGCAAAACATCCTTTAGTCTTTTTTTCCTTTTAGAATCAGCCTTTATCACAGAATCACAGGATAGTTAGGACTGGAAGGGGCCTCTGGAGATCATCTAGTCCAACCCTCCTGCCAAGGCAGAGTCACCTAGAGCAGGTTATGCATCCAGGTGGGGTTTGAATGTCTCCAGAGAGGGAGACTCCATGACCCCCTGGGGCAGCCTGTTTCAGTGTTTATCGTTCAATAACATTTAGTGACTTTCACCCTACAGAAGACATGGAGAGTTCTTTCTATCCATCAGTATGCCCAACACAACATGCTACATGCACCAAAATCCCTAATCTGTTGCAAGTAGAAGGCGGATTTGCTGTTAAGATATTAAGATATTCTGAAAAGAAAAATCCAAGCGCTGGGCATACTAGGAAATCTACCAAAATTAAACACTACTTTCTAATTTACAAGTGTCATGGGAAAAAAATTTAATTCAGTAACTGATACAAATCTCCTCGGGCTGCACTGCACCCGCCTTACGTTTTGATTAACATCTATGCGCTGCCTCACCCTTCGCAACTCTGAAGCATTCGTGAGGCCGTGGCAGGACGACGATGCCCGGCGCAGCTCTCGGACCGCACAGCTGAGGTGCTGCCCCTCTGCCTGAGCTTCTGGGAGGCTTCGATTCTCACCGCTGCAGTGATGCTCGGCTCCCGACGCGCCTCGCCGGCTTTCTGAGGGGCCCCCCTGCAGCTCCCGCCGGGCTCAGCAGAGGCTCCGGCTGCTTGGGCCCAGCGCCGGCCCCGACCTGCCCCGAACCCCCCGCGCCCGGCTCCCCGTCCCGCCGCAGCCCAACAAAGGCTGAGGGCGGCCCGCGCCCCCCGCCAGGCCGGCACGCCCCCTCCCCGCCCGGCGCCGGCTCGCTCGCTCACCACGGCCCCGGACACGGCGTGCACCAGGCTCTCGTAGGAGGCGACGGAAGACATCGCGGCGGCTCTCGGGTCTGCTCCGCCGCCCGGCCCTGCGGCCCCCGCGGCCCGGCCAGGTCCCGTCCGCCGCCCACCGCCCCGCGCCCGCCATGGCGCCCGCCCCCGTCACGTGCCGCCGCTGGCCCCGCCCCCCGGCGCCCTGGATGGGCGGGCGCGAGGGAGGCGGAGGGGCCGCTTGGGGTGATTTCCGTGGCTTTTGAGAAAAATACAGGATTAGGGGGTCCGGGAAATGCATTGTTCTTCCTTACTCTGAAACTACAATAACGCCTTTTCCCTCCACCACCAGCTTCGCTTCGAGAAGAGGCGGCTGGGCGGGGACCGCACCAGTGTCTATCAGTATCTGGAGGGAGGGTGCCAGGAGGATGGAGCCAGGCTCTTCTCGGTGGTGCCCAGCAATAGGACAAGAGGCAAGGAGCAGAGATTCATGCACAGAAAGTTCCACCTGAACATGAGGAAGAACTTCTTTACTGTGCAGGTGACCATGCACCGGAACAGGTTGTCCAGAGAGGTTGTAGAGCCTCCTCACTGGAGATATTCAAGAACTGTCTGGACTCAATCCTGTGCAACCTGCTCTAGGATGGCCCTGCTTGAGTAGGGAGGTTGCACAGATGACCCACTGTGGTCTTTTTCAACCCGGCCCATTTGGTGATTCCCTTTCCCAAACATTTAACATAAGCATTTAATTACAAAGAGGAAGCAATATTTAACTTCACATTCTGATTCTGCATTTTTCTAACTGCAGCCCCTTCTACTTACATAAAGTCTGGTATTTCTAAAGTAACACTTTTTCAAGATGATAATTTCTTATTCCATGTGGACCAGTTGAGCCTGATGCATTTTCAAACAGGGGTGGTTTAGCCTGGAGAAAAGGAGACTGCGGGGGGGACTCCATCATTCTCTGCAACTACCTGAAAGAAGATTGTAGCAAGGTGGGGGTTGGTCATCTTGGTCATCTCCCAAGTAACAAGCTACAGGAAAATAGAAAACAGTCTCAAGTTGCACCAGGGGAGGTTTATATTGGATATTAGGAAAAATTTTTTCACTGGAAGGGTTGCTCAGCACTGGAACAGGCTGCCCAGGGAAGTGGTTGAGTCACTATCCCTGGAGGTATTTAAAAGACATGCAGATCTGGCACTTGGGGACATGGTTTAGTGGTGGATGTGGCAGTGCTGGGTTTGCTGTTGGACTCAATTTTAGAATCTCTTCCAAACTAAACAATTCTATGATTCTATTTTGTTTACTCCTTTTCCCTGTCTGCAAGTCCTCACTCCTTTTCCACTATCATGCCGAGAGACTGCTCAGGGCCTGCAGCCAAAGCACACCACTACAAACAGCCATCTCGGGTTTGTCACACCCCTTGGTGGCTGAGGATGGAATGAGAAGTCCTACCAAAACAGCCCTAGACACAGGTAGCAAAGCCAAAGGACAGGGGAGCCACGGCTCACAGCAGTTAGTCAGGGCACACAGCAACAAGGCTATTAAGTACAGTTTGGGAAAATGTCAGTAACCCTATAGCCTTCACTTAACCTCTTATGTAGAAGAGATTTCACAAGGTAGGAAGGATCTCAGAAAATTAAATGAGGTTGGACATGTCATAATTCATAAGGTCACTTGGGATGATACCTGTGTCTGTTCCTCTCCTTTTGTTTTTTTTCTCCATTCTCATGGGTTTCCAGATAGCTTCAAGGTTTTGCCTGTTAACAATCCCTCCCCTTTTCTTAGCTTCACCTGTACTTCAGAAAAAAAAACATAACTAAAGATAGGAAGGAATATTTTCTTTAGCTTTGTATCATGCTACTCCTGGGCTCTTTGGTTTTGATTGTTACTCCATGTCTTTTGTTCTCTCTTTTCTGAAGAGAAAAACTAACTTCATAACTTGTTCTTCATATTTGCAGTTCCTAGTTCTTCGACCTCAACTCTCCAGCTGCCTCTTGCTTGAGCTGCAAGAGCTCTTAGTGCTTACACCTGTGCCAGGAATCAGCATACCATCCACTACCTAAATAAGGACAGGGCAGTTGAAACATTACATGCTTCCCAAGAGTTTCTACCACACAGCTGGATGAGCCATTTCCTTTTGGGAAGATGTCCCTTCATCAGGTAGCTAACAGACCCCTTACCTTTACCCCTCTGTGGGAAAACACCATTATCTTCTCTGAGAGACTGGGGATGTAAAGAACATGGGCTACTCTGCCTAAGGCAAGTTTGAGAAAAACATTTTTCCAGTGCAGTGTTCCAGCATCCCTGTGCTCAGACATTAGATGCCGATACCAGCAACCTAAGAGGCCACAATTCTTTTATACAAGGCTGATCCCATTGGTAGTCCCCTTTTTTTTTTAATATAAGATGCCTATGATGGATGCACTCACTGAGTGAACAGTACTTTGCTACTTTGGTACCAAAAAGCAGGCCTGACTGAAATCATCCCTGCAGTGCAAACCCAGAGAATCATCCTAAGCTGTATCTTACCCAGGAACAAAGGAGTTTAGGCCATGTCTTTTTAGAAGCCCACAGTACCAGTCTGAGCTGGAATTAGTCAGATCTGAAACTGCTATAGCTGCACACCTGCACATACAGCAAAAGGGGGTTTGACTACAAGTCAATCACTTTAAATATCTGCAGCCCCACGAGCCCACTGAGCTCTCCCATATGGCAGTGGGCTGCTTGGCAATGACTTCACCTTTGAGCAGGGATGCCTCTTAAGGTTCATTCTGAAGGCTGAAAGATCCCTTTACCCAACATCTGATATCTATAATGTGGTAGTGACATTTTACATTAAACCTAAAAGTATATTGTATACTAGTGCCAGTTTTTTATATAGCCAGCTATAGCTTAATTATCAGAAGTGTAGCAAGTAGTAGAGCATTTGACTAGAGTCTGAATTTAAAACACTGTCAAATCAGTTTAACTACCATTCAATTACTGCTTAATAACAATTCTATCATCATCAGATTTTTATTCAGTTGTCAATTAATTATCCTTTGATCATCATTTCATCATTAATAAAACCTTTTTAGTTAACCCCACACTGATGACTTAACTCACCTGTGACACCCCCCTACATGCAAAAGACTCAAACCTTAGTTTAGAATTAAGATGTACACAGGTCACCAGCTATCTCCTGACACTAAAGCAGCCAGGAGCAGCTTAGGTTTTACAAAACCAGGGGACAATTACACAAAGTGACTTTGCACAGTCAGGTCCACGAGCTTTTGGGAGAAGTGCCTCAAACAGGACACAAACTCCCATTACTGCTGTTCTTTGTGATTCTGTCCCTCTTGTGTGGAGGGAAACTTTCACCAAAGAGTCAGTTTGTACTGCAGAGTGGATTTCCATCCTCATTGTGCACCCAAATAACTCTATACTATTATTATTCTGTTTAGCAATATTTTAAATACAACACTATGCCCTGTATGTATTGCAAAACAATATCAACAGATAATGTAACCTGAGTATTAAACAGGTAATGCAACAACTGCAATATTCCAAAAGCAACTTACCTTATTGTTGGAACACATAGACCTAGTAAAGCTGTCCAAGAAATACAAGGGAAACAATATAGATTAAGTTAAACAAGATATGTCAGTGTGTTCTACAGTGAAAAAAAAAATGGAACCTATCTAAAAAACCTAACTGCATAAAAAGTTTCATGAAGACATGCCCTTAGGTCTTCACAGAAATACCACAAATTCGACAGGTTCCCAGGCAAACACACAACACGTACAAGTGTGGTTTAAGGAAGGACAGAAGGTCCAAGTTGTCTGCTTTTCCTCAAATCTGTCAATTCTACTAGAGAGCTTGGAAGAAGTGAACTAATTAAGCAACAACAAGTACAAACATATTCTCTGTACATGAACTGCATCTTAGTAATTTCTTGTTTGCGCAATTCTATAGATTCCCATACAAGGAGATAATTGGTCTTGAGAAACTTTATCCTTGGTGGATTTTGACTGGACCACAACTTTGTTTCTGATTCATGACAAAGAATGAGGACACTGTTGGTGACTCCAGAGGTCATTTTACTGCCTCTGCACTGTGTCTTACCTTAGAAAGTACAGCACAAACTCTGAACTTAAACTAATTCTACCCTGCTACTCTCCTTTATTCTAACATTAATTTAAAAAAAAAAAAGATTCAGAAATGCGTATGTCCTTTATTTTTGCTTAGGAATTTGATTCATTAGAGTGCAAACATGTTAAGGCAGAATTTAATGACTACTTTCAAAAGGACTTTCTGAATCTGTTGCAAAACTTTATCTCTCAGAGAAGGTGGATAAACTGGATTATACTCCCAGTACCTCATAGATAAAAGCTACTAGAGATTAACTAATGAGACTGCATGTGCTGACAACCTGAATTCATTAAATAGAGCAACTTGATCACACCAACTTGTCAAGATCAGGCATAAGTAGTAAGACCATGGCACTACTAGCCTATTCCAGAAGGAAGCATTGTAATGACAAACATATTAAAAAGCCCATTTTTCAAATACATGTGTGCACACTTTGCCTGAACAGATTTTGACTGAGCCTCTGCAATGATGCAGAATTTTCCCTATGCACTTCATCTAGGTCAAGGAACATCGGAGAAGCTGAAATTCTTTTCAATTTAAATTACTTGTCTTTGTCATTATTAGTCTCCTGTTACGGTCCTTTCTAAACTGCCTTGCTAAACCAAATGTCCCTTAGTCACTTTTAGTTTTACACAAACCAAGTAACTGTCAAACACAAATTTTGTTACCTTATGTTGTTGTTTTTTTCCCCCAAGCACTTGATAAATGTCTAACATCTGTTCTAATTGCAAATTTTTCTGGTCTTCCAGGCTAGTAATTCATTCCAGTCCACAATTTTTTTTCTTCTGGTTTGATAACTTTTCACACAAGAGACAAAAGAAAAAATGTAACAGATTACAAAATGGCTTCTGAAAATCTATTTTTTTTTTCCAGGAACTTCTCATTATAGGATAACACGCAAGAAAGTGAGGGAGAATCATCCTGTAGAACAGTTGTGTTAATTTTTCCTTTTAAAGTCTTAGCAAAAAGCCATATTTTAAACCCATTTTTTAAAAATCTGAAATAAGAAAGCACAGGTGGCACTTAGTGCTTTTTTT